TTGAGGCCTTAACTGAGATCATACACTTGTATTTTGTGCCTTCTTAGAAAGAGATCTGCAAGAAAACATTCACTCTTTAAAGCAATGGTAGGATTTAGGTGTTTTGTTTTGTTTTTTTCTATTTTTTATTTTTTCAACAAAATTCCTGAGTATTTTTAAAATTCCCACTCCCCTACTCCTCTCCCCTTTGACAACCATTAGCTTGTTCTCTGTATCCGAGTCTAATACGTTTACTTTGTTTTTTTTAGATTCTACATAGAAGTGAGATCGTACATTTGTCTTTTCTGTCTTATTTCACTGAGCATAATACCCTCTATGTCTATCCATGTTGTTACAAATGGTAAGAATTCATTCTTTTTTAATCACTGAATATTCTGTTTGTGTATGTGTATGCATATATATGTATATATGTACCATATCTTCTTTATCCATTCATCTATCAATGGACATCTAGGTTGCTTCCATATCTTGGCTATTACTAGTAATGCTGCAATAAACATAGAAGTGTAAATACCTTTTCAGATTAGTGTTTTTGTTTTCCTCAGATAAATACCCAGAAGTAGAACTGCTGGATCATATGGTACCTGTTTTTATTTTTTGAGGAATCTCTATGCTGTTGGAAGTATATCATTCTGTCAAAAACTATAAAGTACTTTTTTTAGTGTCAGTGTTAAGGCAAAGTGAAATAAACCTCTTAAGGGTCATACCATTCACTAGGGTGCTGGGATGAGACTAAAAAGGCAGGGTGATATTAATATAAAAAAGAGGCACAAGAACTATACCAACTGACTAAATATTACAGCAGGTTGTATTCAGAGCCTGCTACTTACTTGCTGCTGGCCTGGGAACCTGGCTGATGAGCATATGGCCAGACCACAGGGAACCTACCGGAAGATTCCTGTTGAGATTACTAACAGCTACTTCCCCTATGCCTTTAACGCTGCATACTCATACCTCGATAGGAAAAACAGATATAACACTGAATTCCTGTAACACTGAGGCTTGTTCTCTGGCGTTGAGAGGAGACCACATCTCCGTCTGTGGAGCATTATTCCTTCTCTAACAAACTTCCGTTTTGTCTCTAACTTTGGCTCACGCTTGAATTCTTTCCTGCGTGGAGTCAAGGACCATCTCTTGGCAGGCACAGAGCTTGAATCCCTAAATCAGGAAGATTCGCCTTGTCCTGCATCAATATTAGCTAACAATCTTTTAGTTTATGTTGAGGGGACCGGATTAATCTGTTGTTAGGGGTGTTCTATGGATTAGAAACCACACACCTCTTTAGCAACGAGCCACCCATATCAGAATGGTTCAGGAAAACAGGTTTGGCCAGTACAAAGCTGTTGAGTCCTCTGTACATGCCCCAGTGGCTACTGTTTTTTAAATCTTCTATTTTAGTTGCAGAAGAAAAGGCTAACTTTATACCATGTGCCAAAAGCTTTATGTAGATCTCATGTACAGTCTGAAGTCCAGTGAGTTGCTGCAGTTATAGTTAGCCTGCAGGCCTGAGTTCACCACTACGAAACTGGCTGAACTGAGTATCTCTAGTATCAAACTTTTGGGTGGTATCTAAATGTCAGATTTCATAGTCGTTAAAGTTAAAAATCTGGAGCCAAACTCGCACCCTCAAAATCTGGCAGTTTGTGGTTTATAGCATACCTTAATCTTGCAATAATATATAGTTGACTCTGGAACACGGGTTTCAACTGTGCGAGTCCACTTCTACAGATTCTTTTCAATAAAGCCCGTACATGTATTTTCTTTCTTATGGTTTTCCTAATGTTTTCTCTTCTCTACTTTATTGTAAGAATAGAGTATATGATACATATAAAATACAAAATATGTATTAATCGTTGATGTTATCAGTAAGGCTTCTGGTATTAATACTTAAGTTTTGGAGAGTCAAAAGTTATACATGGATTTTTTTGACTGCACAGGGTACCCCTAAACCCCACGTTGTTCAAGGGTCAACTGTACACTGTGTAATCACTATTAGCCAAGTTTCCCAAGCATTGTTGGTGCCATTTAGCTTGGCTGGATGAAGTTGTACCATGAACAGATATGCCTGAAACCAAATCATGCTAGGTTTAAGCAACTCAAGAACTTGCAAATATACAAGATTGTCATTGTCATCCAATATTAATGACATTTCTTCAGCTTTCTAGAGACATTTTAAAATAAGTGAAGGCCTGTAGCTAGCCTCTGTGGACGAAAAGAGGACCACACAGTAAACCTGATATGTTCAGATGGGCCAGCATGGTAGTCCCTACAAACTCAGAGACCAAAATTAACCACACGGAATGGTCTGAACATAAAAATTCCTAACTAAAAGTAAGTCTTGGCAGGCAGTCACATCCTGGGCCTGCAGTTTTCTTGACAAAGATCAATTTTTACCTTAAGTAAGCCTGTCTGTTGTCTCTTTGCATCTGAGATAACATACTCTAGGAATGTCAGAGAAATCCCTTTTTCTCCAGACCCCTCAGGGCACAATCCACTGAACCAGAGCCCAAGACCAGAGGCCCCCATTATCTTGCTCCTGGCCACCCACACACCGCCACCGCCATACCGCATACCCAGTGGCATACCACGTACCGTCTCTATGTGCTATAAATGTTAATTAACTACTGTATACCCACCAATATAAAAGAAGTATGTGTCCCTCCCTTTCACTCTTTACCCAATCTCGAGAGATGTCTGGGCTTTGCTTTCTCCCATTCCCTTAATCTAACACCAATGGATTTCATGTAACCTTCTTTACACTTCCTTTTTTGATTCTAATATAGACAATAAGCTGCAAAACTGCTATTCTCTGGTGCATTTTCTTAATCCCTTGAGATTTTGCTTCCTGGCAATTGTCGTCAGTTTGGCTCAAATAAACTCATTAAAATTCTCTACAGGTCTGGACATTTTTTATGTTGACACCTCAAACAGTCCCTATTTTCCAATTTACCTGCTAAATTACTGGCCTACTTACTGTTCCCATCAAGCTGTTATCTCCTCAAAACTTTCTAGTAACCAAATTCATCTTTTATAACATATTTTAAAATATTGTCCCTAAACAACCAATGAGCATTCAAATGAAAATCTACCTGTTCTTTGAAGGTGGACAAAAAAGGGGCCATATACTAAACCTGACAAGCTCAGGGGAGGCCAGCACGGAGGACCCTACAAACTCATAGACTAAAATTAACCACATATTATGGTCTTAACATAAAAATTCCTAACTAAAGCAGGTCACAGTAGGCAGGCACATCTGGGCCTGTAGCTTTCTTGACAAAGGTCAATCTTTACCCTAAGATTGTCCATTATCTTTTTGCATCTTATGACAACATACCCAGGGAATGTCAGAGTAATCCTTTTTCTAGACCCCTCAGGGCACAGCCCTCCCCATCAGAGCAGGAGACCACAGAACCCCGCCGTGGTTATCTTGTTCCCCAGATACCATCTCTATGTGCTGTAAAAGTTAACTCTTCTGTACCCACCAATGTAAAAGAAGTATGTGTCCTTTTGTTTTATTTTTTATCCAATTCCAGAGATTTTCCCGCTTTGTTTTCTCCCACTCCCTTAATCAATCACCAATGATTTCATATAAACTTCCTTAGGTCTCCTCAATTCTAAAGTATAAAATAAATTGCAAAACTTCCATTCTCTGGAGCATTTTCTTAATCTGTGAGATTTTGCTTCCTGGCAATTGCCGTCAGTTTGGCTCAAATAAAGTTATTAAAATTCTCTACAGGTTTGGGTGTTTCTTATGTTGACAGATGTGAAGGGGAGCAGAGTTTGCCACCCCAAAATATGATTCTTTAGAGATATTATTTTAGGCTGATTAATTTTAAGCAACGGCAGATGGGAAAAGCTCTGAAAACCCAAGTTACCCCTGGTAAAAGGACATTTACATTTGTCAGGGAACTCTCCACCCATAGGGGTGTCTCCCTCACAGTGCCAGCCTGCCTTCACTATCGCTGCAGAAGGCCAGGACTTAAATACGCGTGACAGTCTTACTCTGGTTTGCTATGCTTTTCCTGGTTCTCAACCAAAACTGACTCTCCATCCCCAACATCTTCTTGAGCTGAGGATGGTATTTAATGCGATGGCTTCCATCATTTTGGCAAGTTACTCAGTTTTCCTGGGACTCTCCATATATACAGGAGGTATACATACTATTAAACTTCAATAAATTTCGTTTTTCTTCTGCTAACCCGACTTGTGTTAATTTGATTATCAGTCCAGCCAGAAGAACATGAAGGGTAGAGGATAATTCTTCCTCCCCGACAAATGTCTCCCTGGTATATTTACTCCTTCCCCAACTAGATTCAGAAGGCTTTTTTCCTTTTATCAGAAATGCTTGGCTTGGGTTGTTCCCCTAGAACAGAACTGGGCAAACTATGGACCATGGGCCAGATCCAGCCCATTGCCTGTTTTTATAAAGTTTTAATAGAATGTAACCCTGCCCATTTGTTTGCATATTGTCTGTGGCTGCTTTTGCACCATAATGGCAGAGAGGGACATTCCAACAAAGGTCTGCAAAGCTGAAAATATGTATTCTCTGGCCATTCACTGTCCAGTCACAAAAAATTTACTGGCCATTTACTGTGTGGTCAGAAGAAGTCTGCTGACCCTGATTTAGAACAGTTATTCCCAAAGACACACTGGCTCAACAAAATGTGAGTTACTATCTTATAAAACAGAACTGTCATGAACTCTTACAAAGGGCTAACTTCTCCAGAGTCTGTCTAGAAAGAAATTGAGAGAGGGAAGAATTGAGAGAGGGAAGTCATGAGATGACCACACTTTGATGATGCAAGGACTTAAAGGAACCCATGCTGGCACGAGACCCAAGTCTTCTACAGCAGCCCAGCCAGGAGAGTACTCATGAGTTCTTGCAATTAGACTATTTCCCCCTTTCCCAGCTCAAGTTCTACTTTACTGTGACATAGTAAAAGCTGCTCAGTTTTTTAGTTACCTATAATGAAGGGGCTGCATGAATATAAACAACTATATCGGTGTTTCAGATTTAAGACTTTTATTTTTTTCACCCCCAAGCAAGCCTGCCTGATTGATCCTCTTCGTTCCCCTGCCTGACCCCAAGTCCCCTACCCCTCATAAGAAGAAGAAACATTTACTTTCACTCCATTGCTTAGAGAGGGCCTAAGCTTTGGCGGCTGACTTGTAATGGGTCAGAGTGCGGGCAGAAGGGTCAGTGGCATTGATCCACCTGGGCATCCAGTAATGGGTCAGCCAGTCAGCCCGGCCTGGGTAATGGCGTTCAAAGATCTGACGGTAGTAATAGCCTTCTTTAGTTTTAGGAGTATTGAAGGGAAATTTTTGGGCTGCAGCTGCCATCGTTGCATCGTCGACCTGTAAGAGCAGAGGAGCAAAATGGTCTTTTAAACAGCGTGGAAACACTTGTATTTCATCTGGCTTCACAAAACAAAACAAAAAAAGATAGGGAAAGTCTTGACTATAAATTGTGCCAGAGACCCTCTGAATCACCCATCACTTAGAAAATGCTAAAATACCATAATATGCATAGCTGCAATGACTTTTAAAGAACATTCACATGCACATTTCTAATCCACGGGGGCTCTGAGCGTTTTATTCATTTATGCCTAATAACGCTAACCACTCAGCAGGTGCCCGAAAATGTGTTAAATGAAGGTCAGTGATGACTGGTAAGTTTCTTCTCTTTTTAACACAAGATGCTACTTGATAACCCTGCATGCTACTTAATTCTTAGAAAATTCTTAGAATTGAAAGAAGAAATCTCTCCTATAGACACAAAACGTTTAAGCTAAGTACAGAATGAATAGTAATTATATCTAACATCCGCATCCAAATTGTCCTATTTCAGAAAATATTTTTAAAGACATTATACCTGATGTTCAATATATTCCTGTAAAATCCTAAACCAGGAATTCTTGACTGAGGTTATGCCATCACTGAAGGCTTCTTTCGGTCGCCAGAGAATCTCTTTAGGTAGCAGATTAGAGTCTTCAAATGTCTCTCTCAGGAGATGTTTTTCTATCCCATTCTGAAATGAAAACAAAAGGAGCATCAGTAAAAGTTCCAAATATAATCAATACCAGTGGACAGTTTTGATCTTGAATTGATTCACTTGCCTTGGGAATTCTCATATCTGGTGGCAGAGACAAGTAATAGGAACAAAACCGATGATCCAGGAATGGGACTCTCAATTCAAGGCTTAAAGGGGAAGAGAAGAAAATCTAAGTCAAAATGGATTATTTAGTGCATGTCAGTTTAGATTCTGATTTAGTTTCCTAGCAATTCAAGCAGCCTCTAAATAATGTTAAGATTATAATGTCATTTTTACAATCTTCCTGATTGCCCTATACTAATGCATGAACACAAAAACCTTCATTCAATATATGTATTATCTCATCTAGGAAGTGAAACAAATTGTTTGAGAACAATTACTTTTACTTTCCTTTCTTTATACAATTAAATGCCTATCTCAAGGAGCAAAAAAAGAATCATGAGTGACCTGATCATTAAGGTGTCCTTAGCCTTGACCTTTCTGACTCCAAGTTTTTTTTTTTAGGTGAGACCATCTCTCATCCTATTAAAAGCTATAATAAAAATTCCAAAAATTTTACTCAACTGATTAATAATTTACATACAAGAATCAGCATAAACCAATGTTCCACAGTGTTTCATCAAAGGCTACTTCATCTGCTTCCCAAATCCTGGTAGCTTTGATTAGGACAAGCAGATAAGATCATAACCACAGATTCAGTTCATTCCCAACCTCTTATTTTATTATTTCCCAATCTAAGTGTGATTTGGTAGAAACAACTAAAAAATATGTGGGTTGTTTACCTTATACAATAAAGGTCTTCAATTCTACAACATGGCCAGCTAAAAAATAAAAACTTTAGCCAACCAGAAATGATACCAAAGAAATAGGGTTTTATAATCTCTTCAAGCCTCCTGCATTTTCACTGCAATATCTTCACACAGCATCAGAAAGGCATGGCCAGCAGTCAACACCTGCTACACAGAGGTGTATAATCTTTACTTCTCTTAAAAAGACTTATTAAAAAGAGCTGCAACTGCCTTCCCTCTCGGTTGTTCAGATGTGAGCAAGATGCTGTTACTCTTTAAAGCTGGAAACTCGGTCTGAACCACCCTGCGCCAGCCCTCTCACCATCCCCACAGTGGCACTTTGAATTTAGCCTAATTCCTTTGGGACTAAGTTCAGCGACAAGCTTCATTTTCCCTATAAAAACCACATCTTGCAACACACAACAAATTGGAAAGAAAAAAAAAAATCAGCCATTGAACTTTCTATTTTTTTTGAGGTTATTTTTATGATCGCTTTTTAAAATAATGAGTTAGTTACCCATGGGCAGCAGTAGTTCGATCTGCGCGGAGAACATCAAACAAATAGAGTTCCTTCAGAAGCCTCTCACTCTCCTCCTCGGCTTTTTCAGGAGAAGGGGCCTATTTTACAAACAAATAGCCAAAAGTTACAAATACACCAACAGATTTGCTTTGGGCACATGAAACAGTTCTTATTTCTTAGTCTTACACATACTCCAACCCTAAAGGTGGGAAAGACAAAAAGCTAAAACACAGTTTAGGGAAGGGAGTAAGTGCTGTATAAAACAGGCCTTCTCTCACATCCACACTGTTAGTGTTAGAACAAATAAAACGGACACACTGGCAATAATCATAACAGCGCAGGGACCATCAGAAACGTGATTCTCATGCTTAACGAGTTTTAAAGAATAGAGGTTATCTAATCTAACACTACTAAGACTTCTTTCTCCCCAAAAGAAACATGAAGCAGATATTATCAGATTTCTTCATATACCTCACAAGATACACAAAAATGTTACTGCTGTACTGAAAAGATGACAGAAAATAGTTAAATAATTCATACTTTTCTTAACCTAGCACCAATCTCTCTCCATTTAATGCCTACCTTGTGAAAATATATGTAACCCTGAGTGAGTTCATCTGAACCTTCTCCAGAGAAGATGACCACGCTATCTGTGTTCTTTCGAATGTACTTAGAAATTAAGTACATACCTTAAAAAAGGGACAGAAATTATTGTTAAGGTCAACATAACTCTCTACCCAAAATGCTTTTGTTTGGCTTTTGGAAACAAATGCAAATATTGCTCTAAATTAGACTCTCTATTAATATAAAGTAGTTTCCCAAATAATAATCTTTTATCTACAAGCCATTTATATGTATACTTAACCTAAAAGTCATACTTTTGTAATAAAATAATCTAAAACCATTCCACAATTTTATATAGACATTTAAAAAATTTAGCGCTTTTAGATCAAGAATGTCCACCTTAGAACTCTGTTAAACTGAACAATAACTCAAAAATATCACACCTTTCATACTAGTATCACTATACAAATATGATGAGAGTTGGGGGTTTGATAGTTTTAATTTTTTTTTCTAATACTCCCCCACCCACTAAATTTCACATATAGTTAAGGAAGGAGACTACATAAGTTATTAAAAGATGCCCATTGGTTCCTATTCTACATCCTTGAGATGTGGAACGAACCAGTATTTGTTCTTAACTGCTTTTTCATTACTGCCTCCCTAGGGAGACTTTTTAGACACTTTCCATAATTGCCCTCCAAATGAAATACCAGGTATACTATATATCTGTTTACGTATTATGGCCCTTCTGAAGTGTGCAAACCACTGTACTACCTAAGATTTTTTTGCCCCCCAAGAACCAATTTTTGATCCCTTGGAGGCGACGTCACTCCTGCAATAAGAGTCTTATCTGATTCTGGGTCTCTTACGAAAGGCATATCTAAGCCAGTAGCATATTAGAGGCTCCACAATACTAGATCAGTATGACCTGGAGTACACTTCTGAACTCGGTATGTATCCACAGGGTAAAACTAATATTGCTTGCTGAGCAATAATCATTACTGACTGATAAGTTGTACAATGAAATATTTGTCAAGATATATCTAAAATGAGTATTCTTTACAGAAAATTAGTTGCAATGTAGACCTATTTCCCTATATAGCCCCAAAACTTTACATAGATAAATCAGGGGAAGGGGTGCAAAAAATACATATCTACTCTTTGGAGAAATACAAAGAGTGATAGCATAAATATGGAGGTTTAACCATGTATTTATTGTTCCTCTCACTCCACAAGAGATTTGGGGAATTCTTAAATGATCTTGTCTTGAACAAGTGCTGACAGAGGGATTTTATTTGCATTCACTCAAGTATTGTTTTTTAAACAGTTGCTTGAAATAATAATTTTTAAAGCTTATACCTTTTCGGTATTAAAAATCTTTTTAATGCCATAAAATACCTTACCGACTGAAGCACGCACTGTTGTAATGTCATAAGTTTCCAAGGAAAATATGACTTCGTCCAGGACCTGAATACCTTCCTCTGAGTTGAAGAGGACTTCGTGATGTTCACTCCCAATATGATTTGCCACCTGATTATATAAAGAGATACCCACATAGTTGCTATTTCAAGAAAGAACTGCCCTTGAAAATGAAACATGACAGTAGTTCACAAACATTATGAATCAACAGCTGTGGAAAACAAATGAGGCAAAATAAGGGGAAATGGTTCTGAAAGCCACCACGATATGGGGAAATGATTCTCCAGTCAACCACGTATAAGCCCCACATAGTGAGAGTCCCTTGCCCCCCACCCCCTGGTCTCTCCCCTCCATTCAATCACCAAGAGGCAGCTATCCCATCTAGCCCTTCCACTCCAAGACTTCAACCTAACAGTCAGGAGGCTTCCGATTAGCATGCCACCCCCATTCCCTAAACGCACACGTCTTTTACCCGACCCACCTCATCTCTCTCTAGTCCAACATGGTCCCACCCTAACCTTGGCCTCCTCTCAGCCCTCCTGCAATGCCTAATTTTATATCCAGGATGTTCTTCCTGAATGAAATGACCTCTCCCTTCATTCTACTTTCTTTGGCTATTTCTGTTTTTTTCTTCAGCATTAATTAACTTGCTTTGGGACTGCTCTCTAGCTCTTTCTCATCCATTCTATGTAAGTTTTTCTGGAGTAAGAATGAGGTCTCTTGCACACTGAATGTGTACCAGGCCTCCCTTGTCCACAGTCCTAAACATGTTTTATTTAAAAAAATAACAACTTCCATTCACTAAATACTTATTACATGATAGGTTCTACCCTATGCACTGATATGAATTACATAATTTTCACCTCAAAACTACCTCATAGTAGATACTATTACTCCCATTACATAAGCGAGGAATTGTGTGGCAGAGGTACGATTTGAAAGAAGTAGTGAGGCTCCAAAGCCTGTAGACTTAACACTATACTAGGCCCTTACCTACAAAAGGACAGAATTATTATCACTGGGTTTTTGAGAAAATTGCAGGAGCCATGGTAGATAAAAATACTCAGAATACAGTGTACAACATACTTGATATTCAACAGGTTTTTTATTCTACATTAATATATTTAATTTAAAACAATTTCCTGAGTCAACACAGCAGCAGAAAGATAGAATCATCAATTATTGATTTGATTTTCATTGCAATAGCAAGTCTGTCTTAACTACATAACAGGGAGAGATAGTGTCTCACCTTTCTAGCAGCCAGTAAATCAGGACTGTCTTCCATGCCAATCGCAAATGTCTGCAGGGGGTACTGTACTTGGGCCGCTTTGAGCTGCGTCAACAGGGTGGCAGCAACCAAACTGGAATCCAAGCCCCCTATGAGCAAGACAGCTTAAGTGTACTGGTCATGCGCCTTGCATAAGAGAGGACAGATGACTCACATCCCTATTCAGTGCCAAGATTAGAGTTTTACCATTTAAAATCCCCAAGTTTTATAAACTGAGAAATCTAACATTTAACCTGTGATAATGATAGCAGTATCTGAACTGGTTAAAATTCTCTACACATAATTCTAAAGAAGGTTTACTAACTTACTCATAACAATAATATAACTTTAAATTGCTATATTACTATAAATATTAAATGCAGCTTACAGAAAACTTTTTCATCCAATAATGGAGAAAAGATTAAATCACAGAGTAAATACTTTATAGTCAAAACCTCAGAGTTGGCTATAAATCGTTTAACTTAAACAAATATGCACTAAAAAGAATTAGGTTCTTGAACAGACTTCACCTGATAAAAGGCAGCCAATCCTTCTGTCCGTCATCAAACGTTTCTTAACAGCATTGTCAAAAAGGATCCGGAGGTTGCTCTTCACAGTTTCTATCTCAAAACCTATTAACACATAAAGTAAGTGAAGCAGCTCCAGAAAAGCTTGAGCTGAGTTAATTATTGAAATGAGGTACACGATCATCTAAATCTATCACACGGGCAATTGCCCAACAGTGTAGTCTGCCAGATCACAATGTGTCACCTCCAAATTAAATAAGAATAAATTTTCAAATGTAACTCATTCCAATGACCTGAAAGTATAACTTTCCTTTGGGAGACTGGAGATGGGGGATGGGAGGGCAGGTATGTGCTTTATTACCAGGAAACAGTTTCTCCACATTGTCATAGAGGGCATGCAGGGGCTCATCTCTGCAGTGATGGTATTTAACCATTTCCACCGACGCAACTTTGCCATTTGGCTTTAAATCCAAGACTTCATAGTGCCCAGGAAGAAACGGCTCCACTTTTAAAAAAGGAGCTGTGGAGTGCTTTAAGTTAACAAGACCTACGAATGCAAACAGATAACTTCATTCAGATTAGAACACTTCACAGGAGCCTTCATGATTAGTCACTACTCTTTAAATTCCTATTTATTTTCCCCTTTTTAATACATGTGCATTATATAAACAAAATGGGGAAAAATTAATCACTTAAACCCTACCATCTACTTACTAGAGAGATAACAGTGGTAACAGATACACAGCAAAATTACACTAGTCATTCAAAGCAACAGGAAAATTTCCAATGTTCAAATTCTTCTTCCTAGCTGGAATTTCTGATCAAGAAAATTATTTTCTAAAATAAAGCAAGAGGAAGGAAGAAAGGAAGGGAGGGAGGGAGGGAGGAAGGAAGGAAGGAAAATAAGATACGTTTATTAACCAAAGAGATGGACTTGAAATGTGAATTTTATGATCTCTTGGCAGTTGTCCCTTTGTCACCACACTAAGGTATTTTAAGAAACAGCCACTGTTCCCAGTCCTTTAACAAGCAAAATGATCTCTATTAGGTAATTTAAAGTCAGATATTAAGAAATGAGGCATTTATCCCTTAACTAGTAATTATACATGATGTGTGAGTTAAACAGTATAATCTAAATTTCTTCAATAAATTCTCGCAGGGAGTAGCCAACCTGCCATCACCACGATCTGTGATACAAATGTTTTATTGTAAATAGAAATAGCCTCCCTACACAGAATACTCATCGTGATTTATAATTTGAGTTTGTCAACCTAGTGATCTACTGTGTAGCACAGTAGAATTCAAAGACTAGATGAGACCCAGTTTCCATCGCTAGTTAGCAGATCTTAAGAGAGCCACACAACTCCTGTAGGGGATAAGGAGTAATTAAAAAGTTGTACGTAGGGAGTATCATGATCAGATAAGTGTTTGATCAGTTATTCTAAAAGCAATAAGAAATAAAAAAAAAAAACTGTTGCAGGAAATGCAAATCACAACCATAATGAGATACCGCTTCATATCCACTAGGATAGCCAAAATTAAAAAAAAAAAAAAATTTTAAGTAAGAAAATAACAAGTGCTGATGAGGATATAGAGAAATTGGAACCTTCTTAAATTGCTGGTAGGAAGGTAAAATGGTGTGGCCACTGTGGAAAGCAGTTTGAGAATTCCCCAAAAGTCACACAGTAACCATAGAACCCAGCAATTCTACTCCTGGTATAATTGTAAGAAAGTTGAAAGCATATATTTCTTATAAAGCTTGCACATGAATGTTCACAGTAGCATTATATGTTAACAGCCAAAAAGTGGAAAGAACCCAAATGTTCATCAACTGATGAAAGGATAAACAAAATGGGGTATATCTATGTAATATAATATAATATTATCCAGTTATAAGAAGAGATGAAGAATTGTTGATACAGTCTACGGCCATGCTACCCTGAACACACCCGATCCCTCTGATCTCTGAAGCTAAGCAGGGTGGGGCCTGGTTAGTACTTAGATGGGAGACCACCTAGGAAGACTGGGTGCTGTAGGCGTAAAAAACAAAACAAAAAAAAAAAAAAGAAAGAAAGAAAAGAATTATTGATACATGCTCCAATGGATCAGCTTGAAAATAAACTTGAAATGTCCAGCATAGAAAAATCCAGAGAGACAAAAGAGAAATTAGCAGTTGCTATGGGCTGAAATGGGGAGTGACAGGCAAGGGATTTCTTTTGGGGGTGATGGAAATGTTCTGAAAATGGAAAGTGGTGATGGTTGCACAACTTTGTGAATATACCAAAATCCACTGACTTGTTTACTTTAAAAGGGTGACTGTATGGTGTGAATTACATCTCAAATTTTTTTCTTAAGAAAAAAAAAAAAACTGTTGCAATACTCTAGATAAATCATTTAGCCTGGAAAAGGGCAGTGTTATGAAGGGTATAAAAAATAAGTCAAGAAATTTCAAATGGTCAACTGAATGTTAAGATTATAATTCTATATCGAGCTATTGGGTCTAAAGGAGACACAGTGGAAATAAGGAGTCTGCTTTTCCTTTCTGTTTTCTTTGCTGGGCTTTTCTAATAGTACCTAACATATATATTTATTCTGTGCCACATTTGTTTGACCACACTAGAAATACCTAAAAACATTTCTTCAAGGAATGTACAAATGGCACACACATAAAGATGCCTGAGATCATTATCAACAGGGAAATGTAAATCAAAACTACAATGAAATACTACTTCACACATACGAGCATGACTAGAACAAAAAAAGTCAGATTAAAAAGTGTTTGCGAGGATGTGGAGAAACCAAAACCCTTATACACTGCTGGTAGAAATATAAAATGATGCAGCTACTTTGGAAAACAGGCTGGCAGTACGTTAATACAATTAAACAGAGAGTTACCGTGTGAACCAGCAAGTCCATCTCTATCTATATATCCAAGAACAATGAGAACATACGTCCACACAAAAACGTGCACACAAATATTTATAGCAGCACTACTCTAAATAGCCAAAAAGCAGAAACAACCCAATGTCCATCAACTGACAAATGGATAAACAAAATATAATATATCCATGTAATGGAATATCTTCTGGCCATAAAAAATAAAAATAAAAAAGAAAAGAAAAAAAAGTAATGACTAATACATGCCACAAGACAGACAAATCTTGACAGCATTGGGATAGGTGAAATAAGCCAGTCACAAAAGACCACGTACATATGATATGATTACATTTACATGCAATGTCCTGAATAGGAAAATCCATAGAGAGGTTTAATGGTTGATGGATATAGAGGGGATGGGAGTGATGGCTAAAGGGTATGGGGTTTCTCTCTGAGGTGATTAAAAATTTCTAAAATTGACATGAGTTTTGGTTGCAGATATCTGAATATACTAAAAAACACTGAATTGTATACTTTAAATAGGCAATTATATGGTATGTAAATTATACGGCTATAAAGGTGTTTTCAAAATGCTAAATAATAGCTATAGCTTTGGCATGGTACCACAGTGCAACAATTGCAGGGCTAACCCTAATGTTACAATATGACATAGGAACACTGACCAATACATAGGGGATCAAACCAGATGCAAAGCGTATCAGCACAACAAAAATTAAATGACTTTACTATAGATTTATCCTTCAAGGATTACATCATTTAAGTGCTAAAAGAAGAGTCCAACTCCTTGGTTTAAAAAAAACACAAAGCTCAGAAGGTTCATAGCTTATTTAGTCAATCGTAAAATTGTGGACGGTCCCTTACAGGATTTGCAAAATGGTCTAAAAGAAAACACAAAATCAGGACAATAATGAAAATCTATAGAAAAATACTATCATTACCTTTAGCTTCTGAACATACGGCCAAAAATCCATCTTCTGTCATTGCTTTAAACAAAGGTCTGACTCCATAGGTGTCTCTGCCCAGGAACACTTTCTTATTGGCTGTATCCAGTAAAATAAATGCAAATACCCCATCCAACATACAAATCGTTTGTTCAATTCCTCCTTTGTCATAAAGATGAAGGATTATCTCACCATCCACTTTGGTCTGATATTCAAATTCAAAATGGCGTTGCAGCTTAAGGAAGCAATAGCAAAATTAAAATGTTAGCATCCTTGTGCACTCACTAAATTTGTTATTGCAAAGTTGAGTCAATATTTCCATGCTCAATAATTTCATGCATTTTAGTGATTTAGTAGAATCATGGCATTATAAAAATATAGTTTGTTTGAACTCACAATTCTACAAATTCTTTATAACAAAAAGCTAAACCTGTAAAAATTTTACTTGCATTCCGATAAAGAGAATGCAAAGACAATGTACCAATCAATGTGCAGGATGGAAATGCATGTTATATACATACTGTGTAATACGAATATATGTACATATATATGTAAGTTAAGCAAATAGGTTGCCCAGTTGCCATGACACTAAAAATATGTCTCCCACTACTGTAAAATTTTGGTTTGGGAATATAGTATTCCCAATATCTACCTATGAAAACAGAAAGGAAAAGGACAAACATATTTAGCACTTTTCCCGAAGAATAAATGATTCCATCACTATAACTGACACGTGGTCCAAAACAAAGCTGTTGGTTCCTAAGGGAGGATTACAGCATCTGGTTCTTCCACCACTGCAGTGGAATTAAAGCTACTTCTTACTGACAGACAAAATGATAGTGAAGGTTATTGGTCTACATGCCCCAGAGAAACAGCAAAGACACCATCACTATCACAGCCTGCACACTAAGAGGGTCTGATCAAGTTATGCCCGAACTCTGGCTCTCCACCACCACTGGCAAACTGTGACGGTGGAAAGTCTTTGGTGTGTTTCTCTCTCTGTACTTCCTCATGATTTCTGGCTGACAAACAATATCAGGTGGAAATCCTAGATAAGTCTAAACATTTAAAATACGTTTTTAAATTTCAAAAAGTCTCTGTGTTTGTATATGTATATGTATGACCTATAAAACATGCTCTACAATCTCATTTGCTGTATAAATCTGTGAACCTTTTGTCTAGAAGCACTCACAGAACTGTCCAAAAATGGGCTGTGGCTACCTCCTGTGACTACAAAGCCACCTACCTCCTGCTCCCCCTGCTCTGACTTTCAGAGATGATCTGTCTTGAGCAGGAGGGATTTGGAAACAGGCTTCTGCCGACCCTTCTTGGCTTAAGTATTTGAGGATAAATAACCATAAAGCATTCGATGATATTAGAAGTGATAGCTTCCCACATCTATCCTCCACCACGACCAGGTCATCATTGCTCTTTGGCCTAAACTGCAGGTAATTTATTGTTTAATGATTCACATGTACCATTTTCTACTCTCCTGAAACAAAAGCCTCATATCTTGACACCATCCAGAAATCATATTGTTGCTGGACTTGTCACGTGTAAGGCCCTGACGTTCCCTGCAGGAAGAAGACCTCCTCTTTGCCCCAGGCTTTGCTCAGATTCCTCCTTTCCTTGACCTGTTCTCCCTCCATTCCTGATACACCTCTGGCTGTATTTTAGTAGTTGTAATAAATTTTATTTTGATCAAATAAAAAGGAGGGCTCTGGAGTTTATGTTGCAGAATACTTTATATAAGCCTAAAATGTCTATTCTACTCTTCAGACAGATTTTCAGCTGCTCAAATTCCATTACCATAGATAGCTGGAACTTCTCTGCTTTTGAAAATACAACATATTTGGCTATTTGTCTATTTTCGATACAAAACACACAAAAGCAGCAATGCTGTTCAAGTAAAACAAGGAATTTCCTATCTTATTTAGGTGAAAGGCTAATATTGCCATAATATAACAACATTCTCACGTATGTGGTACTAATTTGGCTTAGTAAGAAAGGAGTTTTAACTACTCTCCTCCTGTACTCCCATTAACGTGACACTCCATTCTTACCTTTCCTGTTCACCATTTCATCTCCAAGCACCCAGAAAAATTGTGCCTGGGTTTGATGAATAACAAAAAAACTTTTCAAATTAAAAGCCTATATTGAGAATGTTCCTATAAGCAGACAACAAACATGGCAAGAGCTATTGTTTGGAGAAAAGTGACCGAAGGGTAGCTAGAATATAAAACCCTATCCGTGAATGATAGGTATATATCAAGAAGGCTCAAAGAATATCGAGAGACATCACAACCAAAGGTAAAAACCCTGAATGAAATCTAGCTCAAAACAAATAAAAACCCCAGTTATAAATACATTCTCAGGACGCTTGGGGAATTTTAATATGAATGAGATATTAGATGATATTTTTGGTTCTTAGTATTGGTGTTAGGTTGAAGAATGTTCTGACTTTTAAGAGATAAATGCTTACATATTTAGAGGTGTCATAATATATGCAATATACTAAAAATACAGACAAAAAATAAATGTGAATGTATAAATACAGAGAGGGAGATAAAACAAATACGGCAAAATATTAACTATTATTCAATACAGGTTCTCATTGTTCTATTACTCTTTGTGTAAACTTTTCAAAATTAAAAGTTGGAAACGAGGGTGACAAACAAAAAACAATTTGAAAATTTAGATAAAAAAATTTCTTATGAAACACTAGCTAAATAATTTCGGATTGGAAGGTTCTTAGCAAATTTGGTTTCCTTGGGTCAGAATTTCCATCCACTCGCCCACTCTCATATAAGAGTAAACTTTCACCAGATAGAAAGCTGTTCCAATTTTAATGCTACTAAAAGTCCTATTTCTTGCACTCCATTGCATCTACCCGCCTTCTTGTCCTATGGCTCTTGATTAAGTGGAAATATGAAATAGCAATAAATATCTTAAGGGCAGCAGTATAGAAAAGCTACAGATAAAATGACCTCCAAACTATTAAATTCTGTCCCTGCCTTAAAATCCTCAAATCCTCCTGCTCTTAGAATGACATTCCAAACTCCTTACTGTACAAACTCCTGCTTGATCTGCTCCTGCCTACCTCCCCAAACTTGTTCTCTTAGGACAGTCCCAGGTCTCCTTCCTGCCTCAGAGCTTCTACGCATGCTATTCCCTCTACATGAACTGCTCTTCCCAGTCTTGCTAGCTGACCCTTCTTCATTGCATCTCAGTTCAAGTGTCAATTTCTCAAGAGACCTTCTCTGACCATCTTTCTTAAAACTGGATCTCCCAGATCCATCAGGTCTATATTCATGTTTTCAGAATGCTTCTTTTGTGTACAGTGATGTTTTTGGTTACCCCCTAATAGAATAAGCTCCTTTAGAGCACAGACCTACCTCTCCTATTTACTAATGTATCCCTAGCATCTAACACAGAGCCTAGCACAGGCTCTAATTAATAATCAAATTCATAATAGGAAAAAAAAAAAAAGACTCTGAGTTAAAGAATTAAATTGTAATCCCTATTTATTTTTTGGACCAACTCACTTCACCTCTTTGAGCATCAGTGCTATATCTATATAATTGGAACCAATGAGGTAATGAACATGGAAAGTGCTTTGGAAAGTAAAAAGTATTATACAAAATATATAGAATTATTATAACCAACGAGCTGTGAGGTTTAATCACATCAGTTATCTTCCGGCTTCATCTTTTTTACCTTCTGGTGGTTGTAGATTTCACCATTGTAACAGAGCCATAAATAAGGATATTTCTTCAGTCGAATTGGCTGCATTCCAAACAGGGGGTCGACCACTGCCAACCGGTGAAATCCAAAGCAGCAGTTGGTGTATCCATTGACATTCTCAAAACGAAATGCATCTGGACCCCTGTGTGCAATCTTCATAGCACTCAGACACTGAACAGAAAGGCAGTCATCGCTGCCAAAGAGAGCCCAAATGCCACACATGGTGCAATGAGCTACCAGCGATCTATGGAGAGACCAATAAAACATGCAGTATCCATTCCAAGTCTGTATTAAATCTCGATTCTAAAAACTTGCACAAACTACTTCGAAGACTGAAATATAAAATATCTACAGCAGTTTTCCATTAGGTTGGCAGGCACACAAGAGCAGAGAATCACTTAATTTACTTACAAGCATTTGGAAAAGATGGATGACCTTCACATCCAGCAAGCTCTAGCAGCTAGTGGTGTTCAGGCCACATTCTGTTCTTCCGCATCCTAAATTTACTCCCAAGAAACAGATACATATGTAGTTGGTTCCAACCATGCCAGAGATTAGAGCCCCACTCTCTGCAGCCCAGCATCTCAAAATCCCTCAAAAAATCCAAGAGACTCTCCAGATTACCATATTTTCTTCTCATGTCTTCTTGACAATTAAATATACTCTCATTACTGGAACTAAATGCACACAGAATATAGTGAGTATAATAAAAGATTATACATACTGCCGAAGTATAATATTAACATATACAACTCTTCTAAACGTTTCACAATTTCTAGCTTACCTCTAAGTGATTTCTTCGTTGTGATAAAAAAAAAAATTCTGAAGAGAAAAAGCAGTATTACCTGATATCTGATATCCTAGCTTCATAACAATAAAAAATTACATTAACAGAGAAATAAAATGTGTTCTCAAGTATTTTTGTCTCAAAGCTCCCTTGGCCAGTAAGAAAGCAAAGTAGTATAGATCACATGTTAGGCCACAAAACAAGTCTCAATAAATTTAAGTCTGAAATCATATCAACCATCTTCTCCAATCATAATGGTATGAAACTAGAAATCAACTACAAGAAAAAACTGGAAAATACATAAACACAGGAAGGTTAAACAACATGCTACAAAACTGAATGGGTTAACAAAGATCAAGGAAGAAATCAGGATACCTAGATAAATGAAAATGAAAACACAACAACTCAAAATCTATGGAACACAGTGAAAGCAGTCCTAAGAGGGAAATTCATAGCAATATAGGCCTACTTCAAGAAACAAGAAAAAGCTCAAATAAACAATCTAACCTTAAACTTAAAAGAACTAGAAAAAGAACAAAGCCCAAAACAAAGTCCAAAGTGAGTAGAAGGAAAGAAATAATAAAGATCAGAGCAGAAATAAAGAAAATAGTCTAGAAAAACAACACAAAAGATTAATGAAACCAAGAGCTCGTTCTTTGAAAGTTTAAACAAAATTGATAAACCCTTAACCAGACTCATCAAGAAAAAAAAGAGCTGACCCAAATAAATAAAATCAGAAACAAAAGAGAAGTAACTACAGACTCCACAGAAATACAAAAAAATCAAAATAAAATACTACTAGCAATTGTACACCAACAAATCAACCTGGAAGAAATGGATACATTCATAGAAATATACTATCTCCCAAAACTGAGTCAAGAAGCAGCAGAAAATCTGAACCAACCAATTACCACTAACAAATTGAATCAGTAATCAAAAAACTCCCCCAAAACAGAAGTCCTGGATCAGATGGCTTCATGAGTGAATTTTATCGAACATTCAAAAAAGAATTAACACCTATTCTTCTCGAACTATTACAAAAAAATTCAAGGAGAGAAAGCTCCCTAACTCTCTTTATGAAGCCACAATTACCTTGATTCCAAAATCAGACAAAGACATTACAAAAAAAGAAAACTATAAGCCGATATCCCTTATGAACACTGATTCAAAAATCCTCAACAAAATATTAGCAAATCAAATTCAGCAGTACATTAAGAATATCACACACCATGATCAAGTTGTATTTACTCCTCGGATACAAGGTTGGTACAATAACCACAAAGCAATTAATGTTATACACCACATTAACAAATTGAAAGATAAAAATCAGATGATCATATCAATAGATGCAGAAAACGTGTTTGACAAAATCCAGCATCCATTTATGATGAAAACTCTCAGCAAAGTGGGAATAGAGGAAACATACCTCAACATAATAAAGGACATAGATGATAAACCTACAGTTACCATCATACTCAATGGGGAAAGGATAAAAGTATTTTCCTTAAGATCAGGAACAAGACAAGGATGCCCGCTTTTCACCACTTCTGTTCAACATTGTATTGGAAGTCCTAGCTACAGCAATCAGACAAGAAAGAAATAAAAGGTATCCAAATTGGAAAGGAAGAAGTAAAACAGTCATTATTTGCAGATGACATGATACTATATATAAAGAATCCTAAAGATTCCACCCAAAACTGTTAGAACTGATCAATGAATTCAGAAAAGTCGCAGGATACAAAATTAATATTCGGAAATCAGCTGCATTTTTATACAGAAAGAGAAATTAAGAAAACAATCCCATTTACAATTGCATCGAAAACAATAAAATACCTTGGAATCAAATTAACTAAGGAGGTAAAAGACCTGTTCTCAGAAAATTATATGTCATTGAAAAAAGAAATTGAAGAAGCTACAAATAAACTGAAGCATATATCGTGCTCCTGGATAGGAAGAATCAACGTCATTAAAATGGCCATACTACCCAAAGCAATCTATAGATTCAATGCAATCCCTATCAATGGAATTTTTCAGAGAACTAGAACAAATAATCCTAAAATTATATGGAATCATAAAAGATCCAGAATAGCCACTGCAATCTTGAGAAAGAACAACGAAGTTGGAGGCATCACTCTACCTGATATCAAACGACGAGTCTACAGCAATCAAAACAGCATCGTACTGGCATAAAAACAGATATTCTGATCAATGGGACAGAATAGAGAACCCAGAAATAAATCCATGTCTATACGCTCATTTAATATATGAAAAAGGAGGCAAGAGTATACAATAGGGTAAAGACAGTCTCTTCAAAAAAATGGTGCTGGGAAAATTGGACAGATACTTGCAGAACTATGAAACTGGACCACCTTCTTACACCACATACAAGAATAGACTCAAAAAACTTAATGTAAGACCTAAAACCATAAAACTTCTAGAAGAGAACATAGGCAGTAAACTCTCTGAAGTTGCTACTAGTAATTTCTTTTCAGCTATGTCTCCTTGGGCAAGGGAAATAAACAAAAAAATAAACAAATGGAACTACATCAAACTAAAAAGGTTTTGCACAGTAAAGGAAAACATCAACAAAACAAAAAGACAACCTACTGAATGGAAGAAAGTATTCGCTTATGATACATTTAAGGGGTTAATATCTAAAATATATAAAGAACTCATAAAACTCAACAACAAAAAAACAATCCAATTAAAAATGGGCGTTAATACCTAAATAGATATTTCTCTGAAGAGGAAATACAGATGGCCTATAGACACATGAAAAGATGCTCAAGGTCACTAATCATCAGAGAAATGCAAATTAAAACCACAGTGAGATATCACCTGACACCTGTCAGGATGGCTATCATCGATAAACCAAAAACAATAAGTGCTGACGAGGGTGCGGAGAAAAGGGCACTCTCATACACTGTTGGTGGGATTGCAAATTATAGCCACTCTGGAAAATAGTCCAGAGGTTCTCAAAAAATTAAAAAATAGATCTATCTTTTGACCCAGCAATTGCACTTCTGGGTATTTATCCAAAGAAAACCAAAACAATAATTCCTAAAGATCTATGCACTACAATATTCATGGCAGCACAATTTATAATAGTCAAGATATGGAAGCAACCTAAATGCCCATCAATAGACAAGTGGATAAAGAAGTTATGGTTCATATATACAATGGAATATTACTCAGCCAGTAAAAAAATGAAATCATACCATTCACAATGACATAGATGAACCTAAAGGTTATTTGGCTAAGTGAAATAAGTCACAAAGAAAGACAAATACGTTATGATTTCACTTATTTGCAGAATCTAAGAAACAAAAAGAACAAACTAATCGGAAACAGACTCACAAATATACAGGACAATCTCATGACAGTCAGAAGGGAGGGGGTTAGAGGGCTGAAAGAAAGGGGTGAAGGATTAAAGCAGCAAAAATTAGTAGCTGATAGAGTCACGGGGATGGGGAGCCTGGCGTAGGGAATGTAGTCAGCAGTAATGTAATGGCTCTGTGTATAGCCAGAGGGTGATAGAGTAATCGGGGAGATCATTTCATAAACTATAAATGTCTATATAAATGTCTACCTAATGTACTGTATACTTGAAACTAACAATAAAATAAAATGCTAAAAAATATATAGTATGTATATATTTTTTGCAGTGCGCACACACACACACACTCTTGCCCAGCCACTGTCCTCAGGACCCTAAGAAATAGACTTTATGGACAAGAGCCCAGGCTCATGTATTTTAAAATAAAGCTCCCCAACTTAAAAAAATCCTGTATTTTCTCATAAACTTCTAAAGCAGTGTTGTCCAACAGACATGTGAGCCACATGTGTAATTTTATATACATGAGTAGCCCTATTAAAAAAGAGAAAAAGTTGAAATAAATTTTAAGTATATTTTAACACAATGTACCCAAAACAGTTATCATTTTAGCATGTAATCAGTATAAAAAATTACTGACGAGATATTTCACACTGCTTTTCTCGATTAAATCGTCAACATCTGGTGTATTTTACACTTACAGCACATCTCAGTTCGGACTAGCCAGCATTTCAAGTTCTCAGTCACATGTGGTAAGCCGCTACCAAATTAAACAGTTGTTTCAATGCTTTTAGCTTCTATTCTACTTACCAACTATTTAAACTTCACGTCACTTTTTTACATGAAGATCTCAGCAACCAACTACTGGTCAGGTTCAAGACAAGTTATCTCTAATTTCTTTTACAGCAATGCGATCAATCAATGAAAAAAGAGTTCTCGGTGCTTCTAAATTATTAGTCAAGCACCTAGGGCAAGAGACAGTAACGAAATAATGTGGGCCCTCGGCTGCAAAGAAAACTAGTCCTTTATTCAAAATAGTAACATTAATCTGAAGCCAGCCTTACAGAACAGATAACCATTGAGAAAGGGTACGCCAGTTCTTTTGCCTTTTTCTGTACCACACTGCCTGTCACCCTCAACAGATCTCTTTTGACAGGGTTTGCTCGACAAGTCACTCGTCTTGCAGTCTACAAAGACGGGGGCGAGGGAGGAAGAGGCTAGTTAAAGTGAGGAAGCTGGAGGTGAAGGGCTAAGAACTGATCCCAAGGACGACACTCACACCAACAACCCTGGACACCGTCCCTCCTAGACCAGGACCAAGCTATCGAGTCACCCCGCGACTCCCGACTGCACCCCAGCCACGTGCACCCTCCGGCCCATCCGCCGCAAGGCCCCCAGACAGCGAAAATTTCCACAAGCCTCGACGCAATATAACAAAAAAATAATTAAATTTACAGGGGCCAATGTAGGCCGCCATCACCGCCTTCTCTCAGAAGCGGTTGGCCTCCCCGCTTCCGTCCCTGCGATCCCTCCCTCCAGCACCGCGACAGAGGTCTTTCGCCTCCTGCTTGCTCCCAAATGCGCAACAATCGGCCCCGCCCCCTTCATAGGCTGGAGCCGCCGCACCTACCGGAGCGGGGATCCGCGTCTGCCCTCCCTTCTGCGGGGCCAGGCTGCAGCGCATCCTCCTTCCCCTCCCAGGGCAGCCGCGAGGCACGCACAGAAGGGCTCGGGCCCGATTTACCTGGGCACAAGCAGGTCGGGTGCAGGTGAGTGGGCGGCGCGGAACCGGGACTGCAGGCTGCGGACAGGAGGGGCAGCACGCAGATGTCTTCTCACTTTATACCCGCCTAGCTCCTGTAATGTGTGCGGGAAGTTTCATCATGCCTGCGAGGACCAACCAGCTTGAGCAGGGATGTGGGCGTGGCCCAGCGGGATAGGGCGGGGAGCAAGGCAGAAGGAGGAGCAGGGAGGAACTGATCTGTTTCCAGCTCATTAATATGTTAATGACTTGCTGAAGTATAGCCTCAGAAGTTTGGCCAGGTGCCCCACTGAGATCTAGGGTTACCTTACCTGCTGTTCTGACAATTGGCGGGTCTTATGTACTTTTTTTGTTCCTTGTGAAATCATCACCAAGTTGATTGCAGTATCCCTTCTGCATCGGATCTCCCTCATATCCTTAATTGCAAAGCCATTAGGAGTGCTGTAGTTTCTCCCTATTCCTAAGAGAGCGTCTGATACATAGATGTGAATACTCAAATATTTGCTAAATTAATAAATAGTGAAGCAGATGGGAATAGCTGGAAGGGTATCCTCTTTTTATTAACTACAAACAAGATTTCATTACATTCTGCCTTAGGCAGAGTTACATTTCTCCTTCCTCTGGATGTATATATACAGCTCAGTGTGTTTCTATTTTGTGTTGGATCACCAGATGGTCACCTCCTTGGTTGTATCGACTTCATCGCCTTTTGAGTTCCAGGATCAGCTCAGTGGATACCACTATACATTGTCAAATCGAATGTATTCAATTCGATTCCCCATTACATTTGGTTGTTGACAAATTTCATTTTCAGGAAAAGACCGAGTTCCAGTCTGAATTTTACCGCTATTTATATGACCATAGGTATGTCCTATAACCTCTTTAGGTTTCCATCTTTTAAATAAGGAAATTAGAGACTACAGGTGTTCCTCCAGCCCTGAAATTCTGAGAACTAAAGTGGTGAGAGTTCTGTAGAGCCAGAGCATCCAAGGAGGGAAATTTTTTTCATCCTCACAATGCAATTTATCTCATTGAAACTCAAAATAACCTCGCAATCTTGATATTTTTGCACTAGGCCCTAAGTTAGAAGTGAATTATCTAAATTTACACACCTGAGACTTTGTAGATCCAGGATGTGAAATCGGGGTTGTCCGTATCTACAGGCCAGGCTATTCCTTTTTCATCACATTCTGCCTATGCGATAAAATGGGGTGGGGGGTGGGGGGAAGCTGAATGGTACTGGAGAACCAACAGAAGAGCAAGGGGCTGATATAGCTTCTCTTTATTTTAATAAACATGAATAATTTCTATTCAAGATTAAATATATTTATTTCATCCCCATTCCTGTATTGAGGCAGTATCATAACATTATACTTTTCTCCTATTTATTATCTGCACTGACAGTTTGAAAGAAGACACTCTCCATTTTAATGGCACTGTTGAACTGTTGTGGTACCAGTACTGCCCTCAAATTTATCGTGAAGTACAGGGAAAGATCTGTTATCAAAAACACGTTTAAGGCCTAAATTTTCTTTATAAAATCTAAATCAAGTTGATGCATGAAGCCAAAATAGATCAGTGCTCCCTAAACATTGTAAGTACAAAGATTCCTTATAAAATAGCAAAAAAAGGTTTTCTTGATCTGACCCCATAAGAAGATAGTGTGCTTTTAGTGTCCCTTTAATCGAGAAATATACCGCCATGATTAAAAAAAAAGGTACTATGATCTTCATAACACTCTTATATAAATTTATATATTAGTCATATCAGCATCAAAATAAACTAAGAAATAGTAAAATAACATCCGCAAGACATACTAAGATCAGACTATAGTCAATGCTTGTAACATATATAGGTATGCTATCCCCATACAATACATTCCCAACTAGTTCAAAAATTGCCAAGAATATAAATTCCCAAAGCAGAGAGCATGCAGTGGGCACTTAGTAGTTGACAGGCAAGAACAAAGATGATAGATGACTACATTCTAAGGTTCCTTATTGCCCTAAAGTTTTCAGCATCAAACAGACTTTGCTATATCCTCATCCACATAATATCTTTTAAACCTGAGAACAACCTGGAAAAGTAGGTCTTTTACCCACATTTTACAAATGTAAAAATAAGACTCAGAGAAGTTGAGGGACATAGCCCAACACACACAGTTTGAATTAAATCATAAAGAATCGAATCATAATCTGTATCAATCTCGAGCCCATTTCCCTTACCACCCTGTCTATATAGTGGAAAACAGATACTTGATATGTTACCTACCACGGTTGGTTGCACTGAGTATTTTCCCCTTGTCCGTCCAGAAACACTCTCCATCCTCCTCCACTTCACTTTGTGCCTTGACTCCCTTGCCCTCCTCTTTTAGTGGAAATGTCCAAAGCAAGACACTTAAGGAGATACGGAGGGTAGAGAGAGAGTCATCAGGATATTTCTTCTCTTGACTCCCTTACCACAAAATTCCTCTCCTGAAGTACATAGCTCCTGGCACCTGGGCCTCTCCATACCTTCTTCTCTTCAAATTCCAGGAACAGCCCTCTCCTCTCCCCTTCAGTCCTAGCCCTTGGGTACTGAATTCTCTTGCTTTTCCTAAATTCTTCCCACTCTTCTGTAATTAGTCCCTACTGGAATGTGCCATCTGCTTCCTATCAGAACCCTACCTGATACATTGATCTGAACTATAACTGTGGATGCAGTGGATTTAACTACAGTAGAAGATGATTCACATCCTCTCTTTATTATTAGACACAAAAGAAAAATTATGTTGGCCTATTTTCCCACATCTTATCCTATCCTCATATTAAAACCTCACTCTAAAAGCAGCCTTGGAACATTTAAAATTCTTTGAACTGAGTCACTGAGCAGTCAGAATAAAATCCTCCTCTGCCAAGTAAAACCTTTAGGCCATCTTGTAATAGACAACACAAGATTACACTTGTTCAGCCCTGAGAGCATTAATTAAAATGAAGTTAAATAAAATAGCTTTAAAGTTCTTTGAATATCAATTATTGGTCTCTCTCTCTCTCTCCCCGCACCCTCTCCCCTTCTTTCTTTCTTTTTTTTTTTTTTTTGGTAGATAGATCCACTTTCTAGAGTTAAAAAATATATAGTAATTCGACCATACCAACATGACAGTAGCTATCCTTTGATATTCATTGACTAAAAAAGTGTACGTAATAAAAAAATTGGTGTTAACAACAACTTAAAGTTGCATTTTATTCAACCGAATATACCTCTGTAAAATTAATATTTGTTGATGAGTCAGACACTTATTAAGTCTACAGAAAATCCTATAAAACTATTCAGACTTGCCAACCTCTCTCAATAACTCCAAAGCTACCAGTACCTCATGAACCACATGTTAGATAACACTGAATTAGAGTTCTGACTAGTTTATAAGTCCACCTCATCTCATTCCCCCAAGTAGAAAATGCTTCTAGAGCAGGCCACATGGTTAGCATTTCCCTAAACACTAGGTGGGTTTTCAGCAATAGAGCCACCTTCAAATTATAATAACCAGAGCCATGGACCTGGGCCCCACACTTGACCTTTCCAATGGCCATGAATATGCCCATTCAGAGTGAAATTCAGGATGCCACCTGCACGTGTGCGCTTTCAAGCTCCAGAGTAGAGTCCGAGCAGGACAAAATGGAGCTGGAGCCTCCATTTGAACTGTTGGCTTGTCCCGCAAATGTTAGCCACAGGCCTTCTCAGCCTATGATTCTGTTTCTCTGCTGTTGGATCAAATTTTTAATGATGCTTTTTTATCAGGTGTTGAAATGCAATTTGAAATAGGACTTATGATCTTTAGTTCTATGTACCCTATTTCTCTTTTAATTTTATAGAAATTCCCTGCGATGCCTACATTTAAATCAGTAGGTTAAACAATAATATAAAAAATTCCAAAAGTTCCAAATTCCAAAAAATTAGTCTATCATGACATTATTCGATTTGTCACTCTAGGATGTTAATTAGTCTCGGTAAGACAAAAAAGGGAAATATGAACATGGGTTGTGTACATTATTATGTGAATCCATAGAACCACAGATTTCCAAAACTGGGAACCATCTACTTTTTCAATAAAATGTTCCAGTAGTCTCAAATACAAGAGACTAGTGGATAAAAAAGGAATAAGAAAACACTGGTAACACTGAAAAAAACAGAGTCTCTGCTCTAAAGATTAAAAACTTACATGGAAGGACTACTAACTAGAATTAGAACAACAATTGTTTTAAAGAATGTAAAAATAGAGTATAAGGAACATAGAAAACAACAATAATTCAGAGTAGACCCTACAGAGCAGATGATATCTGAGCAGAGAGTGACATTTAGGACAATAAAGTACCTCAAGGATGGTTCAACATAGGCAAATCAATTAATGTGATATACCACATAAACAAAATAAATAATATTAATTACTTCCTAGCTGCAATGCCTATTGTATAAAATTTTTCCACTCTGTATAGCAAACATGGGAAAAAATAATTATTCTCTTTTGACAGTTGAAGAAGTGGTTCAAAAATATAAGCTAATACATCCAACACCAGAGGGCTATTAAGTGGCTAAGCCAAGGGCCTCTAACCCAGCATGGTGACTTGAGAGCTCCCATGTCTTCCCTAGAAGTTGCTCAGCAGGCAGACCAGGTAGAGGGGACCTTTCCAAGAAATGGCAGTGATCCATGGGAGGTCCTGTGTATCCCTATGGACAGCTGGAGAAAGTACAGAGATCAAATGGATCTAGGCTTTGGGTTTGGCAGAGCAGGTGTAAAACAAAAATAATATGCATCAAGTGTCCCTGGACAGGGACAGCACTTGTAGTGGACTCTATTAATGCTCAAAAATATTCAGCGTCCCTCCCTGGGGAGGATTATACTATATCTAGCCTATTGACATCAGGCTTAGCCCTGTGACTTGGTATCACCAATGAAATGTGAGTGGAAGTGAAAGGTGTTACTTAGGAGCAGAAATTTTAAGAGCCATCGTATGGTTTGCCACATCAATATTTCCTTCTGCCATGGCTCTGGCAGTGTTCCAGAGAGGGGCAATGCTGCCAACCCAGGACCCAGAATGAAATATATGTGGAGAGGAGCTGCAACCTAC